AGCGCCGCCGCGCTTCCCAAGCGGCGCACTGTAGCAGTGCGCCACCGGGCCGGCCCAAGGATTTAGGGTTTTAATTAAACTTATTTATTTTACATTTATATTCTTTTTCTCTTAGGCTGACAATCTTATTTCCTAATGACATTTACATAATTATTTATTTGCATTACTCTACAATACTATTACTAACAATAAGATATAGATACAGTTTAATCATCTTAAATGTGCTAAATTTCAAAAAAGCTTAATTTAACAAAAAGGTTTACTCTTAGATTTTTAACATCTTTGGTAAAAAAAACACTTGTGTGCTACACTTCTCTTAAAAATATACATATATTTGGGGCCGAGCCCGTGGCACACTCGGGAGGGTGCGGTGCTGGGAGTGCAGCAGCGCTCCCACCGCGGGTTTGGATCCTATATAGGGATGACCGGTGCGCTCACAGCGCTCACTGGCTGAGCACGGTGCGGCTGGTCTCAAAAAGGACAAAAAAAACCCAAAACATATATTTGAAATGGCATGTTTGCTTACTAAAATTATAATTTTTTGGTAAAATTCATCCAATCCCTTTATAACTGTTGCGAAATAGAATAAGTACTCAATTCACTTGCAAAGTGATGGTAGTATCGTTAAATATGTTTCTGCCTATTAACACAATATAAAGAACTCAAACAACTACACAATTAAAAAAAATCTAATTAAAAAATGGGCAAAAGAGATAATAGACATTTTTCAAAGGAAGACATACAAATGTCTAGTGGCCAACAGTTACATGAAAAAATGCTCAGCATCACTAATCATCAGAGAAATGCATATCAAACCTACATTGAGATATCATCTCACTCCTAGACCAGCCATTATTAAAAAGATCGAGAATAACAAATGCTGGTGAGGATGTGGGGAAAGGAGAACTCTTGTACACTGTTGGAGGAACTATAAATTGGCACAGCCATTATGGAAAACAGTATGGAGGTTCCTCAAACAATTACAGATAGAACTACCATATGATCCAGCAATCCCACTACTGGGTATACATCCAACGGAATGGAAATCATGTCAAAGGTATACTTGCACTCCTATGCTCATCACAGCTCTATTTACAATAGCCAAAATATGGAACCAACCTAAGTGTCCATTGACAGATGACTGGATAAAGAAAATGTGGTATATAAACACAAAGAAATACTACTCAGCCATAAAAAAGAATGAAATTCTTTTTCATGGCATGCAACATGGATGAGTCCAGATAAAATTATGTTAAATGAAATAAGCCAGGCAAGGAAAGAGAAATACCACATGTTCTCACTCATAACTGAGTGGAAGGAAGGGAGGGAGAGAGGACAGAAAGGAAAGGAAGGAAGAAAAAGAAAAGAACAATACATTGAACTTTCAGAAGGAGAGAACAAACCTAAGGATACTAGAGATGGGTGGAGGGAGGGGGTTTGGGGAGAGAGAGGTTGGGTAAGGGGCATAAAGAAAAATCATGATTTGTAATAATGAATATACTAATAATAAAAAATAAAAATTAAGGGCCGGCCTGGTGGCGCACTGGATAGTGCGCCGCTTGGGAAGCGCGGTGGCGCTCCCACCCTAGGGTTTGGATCCCACATACAGACCGGTTCCCGCTCACTGGCTGAGCGAGGCGCAGGAGCAACACCGAGGGTTGCAGTCCCATTGCCGGTCCCCGGTCCGGTACGGGGGCAACACTGAGGGTTGCGATCCGTTGCCGGACACGGAAAAAAGACAAAAAAAAAAAAAAGGAAGCGCGGTGGCGCTCCCACCCTAGGGTTTGGATCCCACATACAGACCGGTTCCCGCTCACTGGCTGAGCGAGGCGCAGGAGCAACGCCGAGGGTTGCAATCCCGTTGCCGGTCCCCGGTCCGGTACGGGGGCAACACTGAGGGTTGCGATCCGTTGCCGGACACGGAAAAAGACAAAAAGACAAAAAATAAAAAATAAAAAATAAAATAAATAAAATAAAAATTAAAAAACCACAATGAATACAGTACAGCTGATAACAATATGTGTCATATATAAAAAGTTTGTATGATTACTAATAGGACAATGCAAAAACAAAACCATTTTTGCCACAATACTTAACATTTTAATTTACTCACAGCAAGAGATGAAATTGTTTATCATTAAGTAAAGAAGGGCATCAGAATATAGTAAATATTGTTAGATGTTAGAAAAGTCAAAACCTACCTATCAATCACATACTATGTCTTGTTCATCTTCTATATTTTCTACAATATAAAACTATACTGGCATATATGAAGGCATGCAAACATTTGTTTTAGAGTATCCCAAATTAATTAAGCAACTACACATACCTCACGAGACCATTTGAAAAGAAGCTCTGAAAAACTGAAGATGAACTGAGACCAAAGTAATTTAGATACAAGTTGGGACAATGGGCTAGCTGATTAACTCACTCGGGAAAGTATGGTGCTGATAACATCCAAGGTCAAGGACTTGGATCCCTGAACTGGCCAGCCTCCAAAAAAAACAAGTTGGGACAGTGGCACTAGGAAAAGTGCTCCCTTGGATAAACAACTAATCATGGGGGGAAGGATGGTGGTGGTTATACAGTTTTCTTATCTTTCAAATGAGGAGGTTAGTCTAATATTAGAATCTTAATCTAATAGTAATGCCCTAAGACATAGTTTTTGGGGACCAGGCAGTGTCTTGAAAGCATCTGAATTAGTTGTCAACATATAAGATGTTTAACAATTTGAATATAAAATTTGAAACAGTAGAAAATCTGCTTTTCAAGTCTGGTTCAGCTTCTGTACCTCAATAATAAGTTGGCTATGCTCTTGTGATAGGACAGTAAGCCACATTCCCCACCACAGCCCCACTCTTACATTGGCTCATCTCACTCATTTCATTTGCCGTATCTCACTAGCCCATGGACATTTGGTTGCATTATGAGTTAAATCTTCAGTAGTCAAGACTTTCAAACCGAGTCCTGACATTCAGAACAGGTTCACTTTTTCATTTTGTAGTATATATTGGGGTACTACTACCAAAAAGGAAACTACTAATTTGTAAAGTTTCTTTCTCCATTTAACATTCTATCCCTTGTACAATGTCAATACAGCTCAGAATATAGGAAGAAAAGTAGAAGTGCCATCAAGCAAGTTTTACCTGTGAATTTGATCTTGCCTGCTTGACCGTACTGGAGCCAGACCATCAATTTCGTCAAAGAAAATAATTGATGGGCGCATCTGATAGGCCTAGAAAGCAGGTCCAGTGGTCGCGTGTTATCATAAAAAGCCTCGAGTATGTAGACAATATAAACCATTTTAATCCAGTTTCTTCAAACTTGCTTACCAGAATTTATAACTATTTATAATTCATAAATCTAAATGTAAATTCGAAGAACTACGTCTGAAGGATTCAGACTAAGTTACAATAACAGTTTATAATTTTATTTGCATTCTCAAATGGAAATATTCAAAATACATACTCCACTGGTTATATACCTTAGATTTCATACAGCTATAATTACTGGGACACACAAAATAATATCTATTAACGACTAACCGTGGAAACAAGACAAAGAATAAAAGACAATGATATAGTCTTCTTGCATGTCAGGATGGGAAAACATTATTTAGCAAGATACTATAATTTTTATCAATTTCAACACAGATAAAATAAAGAACCTCAGAGAGTTCCAAAAAGAGATTTAAAAATACTTGCAGCAATATGCCTCAGTAGATCAGAATGTATTATCTGACAATGTGCTGTCAATACAATCTGGAATATGAAACTGAAAGCCACTCTAGGGCAGAACTACTCTTCATCTCCCAAATTGAGAAATAATTGACTATTACTATCTAAGTATGAGACTACAATATTCTCTCTCGGTATGAGCTCTAAAACACCAAAGAACTTAGATCCAATTATTCCTTTCTCTTCTTTTTTTTTTTTTCCTTTTTGTCTTTTTTTCGTGACCGGCAACGGATCGCAACCCTCAGTGTCGCGCCCGTACCGGACCGGCAACGGTATCGCAACCCTGGGTGTTGCGCCCGCACCTCGCTCAGCCAGTGAGCGGGAACCGGTCTGTATGTGGGATCCGAACCCTCGGTGGGAGGAGTTCCAAAAAGAGATTTAAAAATACTTGCAGCAATATGCCTCAGTAGATCAGAATGTATTATCTGACAATGTGCTGTCAATACAATCTGGAATATGAAACTGAAAGCCACTCTAGGGCAGAACTACTCTTCATCTCCCAAATTGAGAAATAATTGACTATTACTATCTAAGTATGAGACTACAATATTCTCTCTCGGTATGAGCTCTAAAACACCAAAGAACTTAGATCCAATTATTCCTTTCTCTTCTTTTTTTTTTTTTCCTTTTTGTCTTTTTTTCGTGACCGGCAACGGATCGCAACCCTCAGTGTCGCGCCCGTACCGGACCGGCAACGGTATCGCAACCCTGGGTGTTGCGCCCGCACCTCGCTCAGCCAGTGAGCGGGAACCGGTCTGTATGTGGGATCCGAACCCTCGGCGGGAGCGCCGCCGCACTCCCAAGCGGCGCACTGTAGCAGTGCGCCACCGGGCCAGCCCATTCCTTTCTCTTCTGACTATAAAACTGTTCACTGTACGTTGGCGTTATCTTAATGTACAAAAGAAAATAGTCTAGAAAGATTACGTTGTATATTTGGCCTAATTCTTGTTCTTTTTTTTGGGGGGGGGAGGGGCTGATTTCTGAGTTTATTTACATGAAAAGTGACTAAACATAAGATTTATCTAATCCTTATACACTTACATCTGCATACATTACAGGACTATCTATATAGGTAAATTTTAATATCATACCTGATCAAACAGCAATCGTAGTTGTCTTTCAGATTCCCCTACCCATTTACTCAAACAATCAGCACCTTTCCTCATGAAAAATGCTACTCTTTTATCCCCTTGACTGCACTCATTAGCGAGTGCTCTAGCAACCAGAGTTTTTCCAGTTCCAGGTGGACCATAAAACAAACAACCTCTGTAAAATAATACATTAAATATTTTAGTACATTAAAAAGCAAAACTATTTTTAAAAAAATTAGAAACCAATTTCATGAATTCACTTAGTGAATAAAAAGGTATAAGACAACTGAAATGTAGTTTCATTCCACAAAGCACAATTTAAAACCTAGGAGTTAATATTGATACTATAAAATTAATATTGAAACTATAAGTAAACTTATTTTATTAAAATAAATATTTTATTTATTTTTATTTCAAACATATTTTCTCTTATTCATTCGTCATGCTTGTCATATCACCTTACCTTGTATAAGCAATCATATAACACAATCATATAAATCAATTTTTATGGGGGGAAAATGTATGTTTTAAGGAATGAGAAATGTAAAGAGAAAAATTCAAGGAGTGTGTTATTTCTTTCTGAATTCACTAAATTACTTTAAATAGGCATTTCCAACATTTCCTATAAGAAGTAAATGCTATTACTTAATTAATATCTTTCTGACTTTTTAAATTATAAAATTTATTTAAAATTCACCAATGTTTAACTGTGATTGATTTATGATACATTACTTTTATAATGGAAAAGAAAAAAGTTTACTAATTTTAAAGTTTACTTAAATCAGTATTTCTATACTGGGTGACTCAGGGAGAAAAGCTGTATAAGGAAAAGGGAATCAAGGACTAGGGTTTAAAAATGGGTTCATAAGTAAGATACAAGAACAAGAAGAAGCAATGGTAGCACAGCACAGATTCTGGCTAAAATTAAAAGTATAATTAAGTTACCTTGGAGGTTGAATTTTGAACTTTTCAAAGACTTCTGGATAAAGTAATGGAAACACCACCATCTCTTTTAGAGCTGCAATATGATTGGACAAGCCACCGACACTATCAAATCGTACCTGGGAATGAAAGTGAACATTGACATTCTCAGATTTGGAGTCAAAATTAAAATGTCACCCCATTCTTACACTATATATAACCTATACATAGTCAACCAAGCAACAGTATCTTAGTTGTGACCTAAAGATTTTTTAAAAATCTGTAAAGGTTAAAGTTTCTGATTTAAAAAAATCACTGGTTTCTTTTTTAACTTTAAAACTAAACTAGGGCCGGCCCATTGGCGCACTGGATAGTGCGCCGCTTGGGAAGCGCGGTGGCGCTCCCGTCCGAGGGTTCGGATCCCATATGCAGACCGGTTCCCGCTCACTGGCTGAGCGAGGCGCGGGAGCAACGCCGAGGCTTGCGATCCCGTTGCCGGTCCCCGGTCCGGTACGGGGGCAACACTGAGGGTTGCGATCCGTTGCCGGACACGGAAAAAAGACAAAAGACAAAAAAAAAAAAAAACTAAACTAAAACAAAGAACAATATTATAGTTTAAGCACACATTTCAAAACAGAGTACTCACTGAAGTATCTAGCTGCATTGGATCAACATCAGCAAGGCTTGCTCCAATTTTCATTCGATCTTTATAAAAGCCTTTTAATTCGTCTTTCCGAAAATTTAGTGGGAGGCACCTATTTAAAAAAATTATAAAACACATACACACACCCCGATCAACTTGCCTTCCTCCCCAAATTCCATGTTAGAATATTAACATTTTTCTTAAAAATTAAAAAATATTTAAATTTCAACTGGCACAATCTTGGAGATCATTTATTTCAATTTTCTTTATACATCCAGAACTTAAGTGTCAGAAATATTTGTCTGAAGCTTTATTATTAAAGAGATACAATCAAACAAAAATATCAAGTTATCCAGATGCCACAAGCAACATTAAGTAACTCATGGTGGAGAATTCAGATAGCACCAATATATATTATAATACTTGGGTCTAACATATACAGGGTATTTACCATTTTCCAGACACTTATAGTTTTAGGTGCTTTACCCATATTAAGTCATTAAATCCTCACAATAGTCTTATGAGGTAGGTATTTATCATTTTTCCCCTTAAGAAAAATCCCAAAATAAAGAAAGGTTAACTAATTTGCCCAAGGTCACTCAATTATTAAGTGGCAGGGCCAGGAATCAAATACAAGATCTCCAGAGCTGTAACAACTCTGCTATAACACCTCACAGTCCACCAGCATTTAGATCCACATCAATCTTCTCAAGCAAGAATGTACCACTATTTTCCTAACTACTTTCAAAAACAGTTATGGTAGGATGCAAAGAATATACAGTACCTAAAAGAACCTGCTCATATTATAGATGGAAAAGTAAAAACTGCTTATGTTGGAGAAAGATACCTGTACCAGAACACCTAAGCAAAGAATGACTGCTGCAGCTGAACACAAGTAAAAGCAAACCATGTTCACCCCAAGTGACAATTCTTGCTAGCCTCAAACTCCACAAGGAATTTATACTGTGAAATCTAAGAAGGACAGGTTTTCAATTGTTGCTTCTTAAAGGGAATTTCTTAAATAATTCTTAAGAATATATAAAATTGAATAATATAAAATACACACAGGATTAGATGCATATTTCTATGAACTAAGGCAAAGAAAAATCCAAGTAGTCTACATATCCAGCTTTTGGATGATCTCATTCATTGTTGTCCAGTAGACATGAGATTTAAGCCACAAATGTAATTTAAAATTTTCTATTAGCCACATTAAACAAAAAAAGTAAAATTAATTTTAAGAATATTTTATTTTGTTTATCATTTCAACATGCAATTATTTTTAAAAATTGAGATATTTTACTTCTTTTTTTGGTGCTGTCTTTGAAATCCAAGCATGTATTTCATACAACAACTTACAGTATAACTCACTTCAGACTAACTACATTTCAAGTACTTAACAGCCACATGTTGCCAGTGGCCACTGTATTGGACAGGGCAGAACTAACATGATAAATAAAAGAGCAAAGCTTAGGGATACAATGAATGATTGGTTTGCATGCCCCTTCAACTTCTTTGTCAAGCATTATCTTCCACTCTAAGAATCTTTTTTTTTTTTTTTTTTTTGGGGGCTGACCAGTATAGGGATCCAAACTTTTGATTTGGTTTTATAACACCATGCTCTAACCAACTGAGCTAACCAGCTAGATAACTCTAAGAATATTTTATTATTAAAATCCAAGCACTGCATTTTCATTCACCACCCACATCTGTAAAATGAGAACAATCCTTGCTTTATCTATTTCATGTAATTATTATGAAAACCAAATGAGTTGGGTAGTATATGTGGACTTACATACAAGAAGTTATAAATGAGTAAATCCTTCAATTTTACTTAAGAGTTCCACAATAAAAATGTGTTATTATAATAAGCAGAAACTTTTTTTGAAACGAAAAAATAATTATTTCCTAAGTCAGTGTTTCACCAAGCAACATTTTGGGATTTATAATGGTTTGGCAAGAAATTGTAACCATATGTTCTAACCTATTATTTGTTTCAACTGCAGATATTTCTAACAAGACATAATCTGGTTTATACATTATACTGTTGTGCAACTTTTTAATCAGCCAAGCTGTACCTATTCCCAAATATTCTGTTTTCTCACCACTTTTTTAAAAAGATAGCTGTTAGTTTAAAAAAGCATCAATACGGCACATACCTATTGATAGCTCTATTACGGCTCCTTTTTCTTCGCCTCTCAAAGTGTTGTTCATCTTCAGAAGAGGAAGATGAAGTAGAGTCACTACTGTGGATTGCATGCTTTCGCCTAAAGAGAAAAATTGAAATCATGATGAGAGGACAGGAAAAATAAGGCACAAGATGCAAGCGCCAGAGATACCTAATGATCCAAAAAGGTTTATCATAAAAGTAATACATTTGCTGAACCACTGAAGTAAGCATTGTTGGCTGAATCTTTTGAAAGGAATAAAAGACTTGGATAACTGAGAGAAAGGGGAAAAAAGACAGGAGGCTGTGGTAGAGCTGACCATCAAATGTTCATTAAGACAGGAGATAACCGAGGCGGAGCAACTTCTTAGTCTTGCTATGTATCAGTTATTCTCAAGGAAAAAGGTGAGATAAAGAGGGTATTAGAATCTTTGGAACTATGATTTGAAAAACTTTTCAATATTATACTATACATAATTTAACATTTGCGAGGAAACTGCCTATTTTGAAATGTCAAATAACTTTAAAAGAAGGATATGAGTTTATGTGAACAAAAGGGGATCAGGAAAGGTTTAAAAAAATGCTGGGAAACAGGGAGGAATAAGATGGCCTTTTACCTATAGTGTATCATCAACTGTAAATTCACAACTTGTCACTTAACAGCTATGTAAATGTGGATGAGTTACCCAACCAATATGAATTTTCTTACTTACAAAAAAATAAAAATACTATCAAATTCCTACTTAGGCTGTTAGTAATATCAAATAATATGCCAAGTGCTATACATATACAAAAAATTTTCGAATCACCTCTACCTTTTGACAGTTGCAAAAGACTCCCAGAAAAAAGAGACTGTGGCTGATGAAACCTTTTAATCATTTTATTGGCTCAGAGACTAGAACTTTTCCTGAGTGAGAGTACAATCACGGTAAGTAGGTATTTCCAAAAATATATAAAATGGTCAAAATCCATTATCTGCATAAGGTAGGTCTGGAATCTCATATCTAAACAACTCTGAAAACAAGTTTTTTCATTATTGACTTATGACCAAAACATGACCTGAAATGGCACAGGCAATTTATAGTCCCAATTTGTCCCACTTACTAAAATTATCCATATGCTTTACTATAAAATTATTAATGTATCTGACTATACAGTGCTAGCTCAGACAACCCTAGAGAGTTAATGTTACCATACTACACATGTTACATGTTGTCTTTATAAATCCACCCCAAAAACCTGAATTCTGAAACACAAATGGCCCCAGGGATTTTGGATAAAGGGTTGAGGAAACACAGAAATAAATGAAAAAATAATCCTCCACCCATCCACCTACCAAAGACCATTTCTGGGATCAGTCTAAACTAAAACTATGTAGTACAAGTCGGCAATTTTATATGAAAGACTAACTTATTTAACATTACCATTAATGTTATAATACATTCTAACACGTATACATAATTCACATAATTGTATATGAATTCACATAACTAAAACTAAATTCGCAATTAATAAAGAGGACTAAGACTTACTGACTGCATCCTATACTAGGTACTCAACATATTAACTCATTTAATCTTCTTTTTTCCCCCAAGTTTTTTATTTTATTATTTTTTTTAATGTTTTGTTTTGTTTTTTATTGGTTATGATTATTCATGGGGAACTCATTTAATCTTAACTAATACTTTGGACAAGTACATTATTAGCAGGCTCATTTTATAGTCTGGGCCAATGTGGCTTGCAGGTTAAATAACTTGCTCAAAATATCAGAATAAGTCACTAAAGGTGTCAGAATTCAAACCTATGTCTATCTATTCTAAAAATCCACATTATATACTCTACTACACTGGTGATTTTGAGTTTTTTATTTCACAAACCAGTAAAGTTATAAGCAAACAACAATAAAACCCTGTGGACCGACATAAGGTATCCAATATTTGATTTGCTGAGTAGGGATTACATTTAAATTTCAAAGTATAGTTTAATAGAAAACACATAAGCACTTAACATGTGACAGGTACTATTTTAATGATTTACATGTATTAGCTCATCTAATTCTGACAAAACTATGAGATAAGTGCTGTTCTCTCCATTCTACAGATCAAAAACTGAAGCACAAAGAGGTTAAATAGCTTGCCAAAGCTCATTAATAAGTGCAAGAACTGAGCTCTGAATCTAGACAGTACTAGTCATGGATCCAGGTTCTTAGCTCTATACTATATAAAGGCCATTATTTCAGTATTAAAAAAATTCTAAACACATATCCACACCTGCTCATTTTCTCCCCATTTTACTGAAAACCAGTGAACAATCTGGCACAGACATGCACTGGACAAGCACTTTAAACTTAACCAGAGCTTCGACTTCTTGCCAGTTCTAGTTCTTTGACAAGAGATAAGGCGTATTTTGAAATATTGGTGAAGCAATTGTGCTATTACATTACCTTGTTGTTCAAAGGGACTAGGCTTGTTCCAGAAACAGCAGACTGGAGCAAAAACTAAACCTTGAATTACTAGAGGTTAGCAACCATAGAGGAGAAAGAATCCTGCTTAAAGGCAGCATTCCTGAAACTCTGCTATAATAAGTGTGCTGAGAGACCCTTGGAAGATCCTGCATTGTAGTTGAAAGGTTTCTTGACCACTTGCCATCAATACTAAAAGCAATGTTCAAATGATTCTTTGTATATGTGCTTTCTTTCCATCCCTCAGTAGTTGAAGTAGTACATGAGCTATAAACAGAAGCTGGTCTCTTCAAGAAAAAGTCAAAAGGCTAAGCAAAATGGCCACTTTAAGGTTGCTAGAAAGGATGAGATCTTCATAATATCTTAGCCAGAAAGTTAAGGAAAAAAAAAAATGGTTTAAAGGGCTACATTCAAAAGGTCATGTAGTAACAAGTGCTGGCAAGGATGTGGAGAATTTGCTTGTGGGAATGTAAAATGGAGCAGTCACCTTAGAAAACAACCTGGTGGTTCCTCAAAAAATTAAACACAGAATTAGCATTTGATCAGGCAATTCCACTCCTAGGCCTATATATACAAGGGAAATGTATATACATATGAAAACATATGTCCACACAAAAACTTGTACACAAATCTTCATAGCAGCATTATTCATAATAGCCAAAGTGGAAACAGCCCAAATGTTTATAAGCTGATAAATGGATAAAAAATATGATATATCCATGCAATGGAATCTTATTTGGCAATAAAAAAGAATGAAAGAATTAGTACAACCTTGAAAATGTTACACTAAACAGGAGAAACCAGTCACAAAAGATCCCACTTATATGAAATACATAGAATAGGCAAATCCTACAGAGACAGAAAGTAAATTATTGGTTACTTAGGGCTGAGGGGGATGGAGAGATTAGAGGTTGATAACTAAAGAGTCCGGGGCTTCTTTTTGAGGTGATGAAAATGTTCTAAAATTGTTCATGGTGACAGCTGCACAACTCTGTGAATATACTAAAAGCCATTCGTTTAAATGGTGTACTATATAATGCGTGAACTGTACGGTATGTGAAGTATATCTCAATAAAGATGTTACCACACACAAAAAGTTAAAAACAGGTTTTCTAAAACAACACCAGAAGGCCAGCAAATCAAATAATGTGACTCAGAGGACAGTTTAATCTCTTATTTCATACTTCAATTTAAATATGTCAGAATCCTCCATTAGTTTACGAGATCCAAGGGCAGGAATCCTGCCTTGGTCATTTTTATATCCATTATGCTTGGCACATGTTAGTATACAAACATTTGTTAAATAATTGGAGGGGAAGAAATCCTGCACTAAGGAGCTACTCAAATATAAGACACTTTCCATAGGGAAAGACTGGACACCATGAAGCAAATATAGAAGCTCATGAGCACTAAAAAGGGGGGAAAAAAAAAATCCTATGTTTTTCATGATACATTGTATGTGGCAGGTAACTGCAGAGATAGCCATTCAACAAGAATCTTACTTCTAGGGGCCGGCCTGTGGCTCAGTTGGGAGAGTGTAGTGCTGATAACACCAAGGCTATGGGTTCAGATCCCATATAGGAATGGCCGGTTGCTCACTGGGTGAGCGTGGTGTTGACAACACCAAGTCAAGGGTTAAGATCCCCTTACCAGTCGTCTTTAAAAAAAAAAAAAGAATCTTACTTCTAGAAGCATAAATCCTTTAAAGATGGGAGAAAAATTTAAATCTCAGAGTAACTGCCAGCCTCTTACTTTTGCAGGATCAAATAGAGGACTGCCCCTTGATCCAGGTAACCAAGTTGCTCTTGTCCCGTGCTTGATGGTGGTGGGGATTCCAGGGAACACTATATCTTCCTCTCCTTTTCTGAAGATCGTTACATTTCACTACCAAAACAGAGGTCTTTAACAATATCCTAAGGGGCCTATGAGAATACTGACAATGTAGCCTCCCTTTAAGTGTAATTGATCTTGGAAAGGCCTGACAGGTTGAGTTTGTCTTCATGATCCTCCATCCTTCTGGGTCCCAGTCAGGTGAAAAGGGATGATTGAACAAAAAATCTAGAATGTTCATCTGTGATGCTGGCAATGAAATTAAAAGACCCAGGGACACAGTAGTATTTATTTTTCCTAAAAGAGGTAAATCTTCAGCACTTAAAAAGGTGCTGCCTGGGCCGGCCCGGTGGCGCACTGGATAGTGCGCCGCTTGGGAAGCGCGGCGGCGCTCCCGCCCGAGGGTTCGGATCCCACATACAGACCGGTTCCACTCACTGGCTGAACGAGGGACGGGAGCAGCGCCGAGGGTTGCGATCCCGTTGCCGGTCCCCAGTCCAGTACGGGGGCAACACTGAGGGTTGCGATCCGTTGCCGGACACGGAAAAAGACAAAAGACAAAAAAAAAAAGGTGCTGCCTTCCAAGACCTAAATCAGATAGTCTGCTTCCCCAAGGAGATGTTCAAGAACTGTTCAAATAGTTGAACTCTCTTAAGTCTTCGGTCTTCTGAGCAAATTAATATTAGGACAAAGTATACGTTCCCACACCAATGTCATTTTTGATTCTGACTTTTTTTTTTTTAAAAAGATGACCGGTAAGGGGATCTTAACCCTTGACTTGGTGTTGTCAGCACCACGCTCACCCAGTGAGTGAACCGGCCATCCCTATGTGGGATCCGAACCCGGGGCCTTGGTGTTATCAGCACCGCACTCTCCCGAGTGAGCCACGGGCCGGCCCCTTGATTCTGACTTTTTAATCATCTCTCTCATTCATGAACTTCCATAATGTTACTATTACCCCAATTGTTGCAATGCATCAGAAAATGTTTCATTAGGGCCGGCCCGGTGGCGCACTGGAGAGTGCACCGCTTGGGAGTGCGGCGGCGCTCCCGCCGAGGGTTCGGATCCCATGTGGAGACCGGTTCCCACTCACTGACTGAGCGCGGTGCGGGCGCAACACCAAGGGTTGCGATCCCATTACCGGTCAGTAAAAAAGACAAAAAGGAAAAAAAAAAGAAAATGTTTCATTACTTAGGAGAATGAGGAATTATTAAGAATTACCTCTTTGGGACTTAAATTTGACAGACAAGCAACAACTGTTGGGATGAAGAAAGAGAAGAAACCCACAAATAATTTAATGGTCAAAGAAAATGAATTATTTTCTACAGTATAAGAGAAACAAATATAAAATAGATCCAAAAAAAGGATAACCAAAGTCATGAGAAGTCTAGAAGCTACGTAACTTAGGAACATTTGACATAGTAGGAAAATATGTCTGTGAAAGTATGTGAAGACTAAACCTATACTGTAATTTAATGTGAAGATTAAAATGAAACAATCTTTGTAAAATGCTTAACACAGAGCTAGGAATACAGTAAACACGGAATGAATGATAGCTCTATTATTAAAGTATGGAACAATGGAATAAACTACCTTATCAAGGTAGTTACTAACACTTCCTATTAGTGGAAGCAAAAGCAAAAACTAGTCAGTGGGATTAGAGTACTAAAGGCATAGAGCTAAGCTCTCCCAAATGTATAATTCTAGAATTTATCCTAGTACACCCAATCCTAAGACTCTAGAATCCTGCCCTAACATAGCTACAATTATGTTGTCATAAATCGATCACTCTTTCAGAACCAAACCTGTTCATCTGTTTACAATAAGGACTTCTTGGTCCCGCAGAAGATAATCGATATCTTGGTCTTGCAGGAGAAGCTGGGCCACTATAAAATATGTTGGGCTTTCTCTGATGACGAGGTTCTAAAAAAAGAAATACATATATAACATATAAATACGTATAAAGATAATTTTGCTTTCTATTTAAATACTTACAAAGGTGGCTGTCTTCCATGAAAGTACTAGTAAATATCTCCTATGGAATATTTTACTGTCTATGTTTTAAATCACTTATGTCTGCAGGGTTGCTGTTGAAAATATGCATAGCAGACACCAACCAACCAAAACACACACTGGCCATAAATAACCACTGTGATTGCACAGATGCCTAACAGATGATTATCAGCCATGCATGTAAAATGCTCAGAGTACTGAGGTACAATGTTAACATAAATCAGAAGTAGTCCTGCCTATATAAACTGACAAAATAAGTAGAAAACTGTGCAATCTAAAAGACAGACATGAAATGTCCAAATAGCCCAATTATTTGCTTTGGTCAAGGCTAACATTTAATTTTCTTTGGAAGAAATGACTTCTTGCAAATATAGGATAGGTTAAGACAACAAACATGAATATTCAGCAAAATGAAAATATGAAAAATACCAAAAAACAAGAATAACAGAGAAGGGACAGTAAAGATAAAGATAATGTAGTTACATCTTCTCCTGGAAAAAATATGTACAGCACTTACTTTCCAGTGGAGCCTGGTAATAAACAGCAGCTTTTCTCTGTCTAAGATAATATCGTTTCTGATTATCTTCCTCTCCATCTTCTTCATCTTCATCATCATCTTCTTCTTCATCGTCATCATCTTCTTCATCATCGTCATCATCTTCTTCTTCATCTTCACCATCATCTTCATCTTCTTGGTCTTCACCCTCTTCAGATGATTCTACAAATAAGAAATATTTACTTCCAGAAGAACACTCACCCAAATGTTAATTTTTAACATAGGGGAGTTGGGACAAAAAGAGAACCCCTTCTTTTCAAATTTATCTACTCCTAGATTGTTCACAGAAAGAACTTGTAATTCTTTTGCAATATTAAATGGAGATTTTTGTAAAATGAGGTTAAAAATTGCAGAATTAAAAACACCTAGAGCAGAGGAACAGTTAGTTTATCAGACAGAGAGAACAAATCTATGGTTATTAGTGTGGGGAGGGGGAAGGGGAAAGATTGGATAAGGGGCATAAAGAATAAGTATGATTTGTAACAATGAATATGCTAATAAAAATTAAATTTTAATAAATAAATAAATAAAAACATTTAGAGGAAGGGAAAAAAAAAAGGAAGTAGAGAAAGAATTTTGAAGGCTGTTTGTGAGTACCAAACTAAAATTTACAGTGTCCTTTGAATTTTATTTTATTTTATTTTTTAATTTTTTTTTAAAAAGATGACCAGTAAGGGGATCTTAACCCTTGACTTGGTGTTGTCAGCACCACGCTCACCCAGTGAGCAAACCGGCCATCCCTATATGGGATCTGAACCCGTGGCCTTGGTGTTATCAGCACCACACTCTCCCGAGTGAGCCACAGGCCGGCCCTGAATTTTATTAACATGGGTGACTATACTTAAGCTTCCAAGTTAATGTAACATGTTGACAAGTGTTTTTGTCTCCTCACTTAGCTTTTGCCTTTTAAACGTAATACTCCATCCAGCTCTTCTGGCTGCCATTGAGTTACATGCAGCAAATAATCTACTTATGATGATGGTAAAACACCCTCACCAAACATTTAAAATGCATTTCAGAAAACCAGTTTTCACTGAAGAAAAGTTCTAATAGATTATGGTAATAACTCCTAAATGGAATAGCAAAACTTAAGGTTATTTACCTTTTAACTAAAAGGGAGAGATATATGATGTATTGTGTGTATATGAATTATACAAGCAAAACAATGCTATTTGCTTTAGAATCGTTGATTTCAGAGGGCTGGCCAGTTAGCTCAGTTGCTTAGAGTGTGGTGCTGATTAACATCAAGGTCCAGCGTTTGATCCCTGTACTGGCTGGCCAGCCACCACAAAAAAATGAACAAAAAAGAATTGTTGATTTCAGTTACCTTCCCAAACAAAACATACTATCCCTTTAAGCCTTCCCCTGCCCCCACTTTTTTCTTTTAAATTATAACCAATCCTCTGATTTTTCACAAACTACCATAAACGTCACAGCTTCTGAATAAAAAGGCTACTTCCTACTAAATCCTACTAAATAAAAAGTACTTAAATTCAAACCCAGAAGACAGAAAACAAGAGAAAAGACTAACCTACACTGCCTTCTTGATTATCAGTTGTTTCTTCATCAGCTCTTTGAATACCTTTTCGTTTTCCTCTTGTGTACATATTAAGATTGCCCTAAAAATGTTTAAGTAAAAGCCATTAACATTTAGTATATATTTATTTAAAAATTCAGTAGGACCCTCCAATCTTGCTTAAAATGAAGATATTTATAGCTATGAACTCTTAAAACTCTAGCAGTACCTAGTGACTGATCAAACAAATGCTGAACAAAGTGATGAATAATTTAACCAAAAATGGATTAGGTACCATAAGAAAAGATCAAACTGGAAATTATTAAATCATCCCCTTAATGGAAGAATATATTTACTTCTTCTGTTTCATTAAATGCTCCCAAGTCTCCAAGTTCTCTCATTCGTTGTCTACGCATTTTCTTCATGTCATCCATTTTTTGAAGTACAGCTTCAGCAGTGCTTTAAAAAAATTGATATAAAAACTAAAATTGTAAAAGAGTAGTAGATTTTTAAAAACTTAAAAATTTTTCTTCCATTGTAATCTTTTGATGCTAGAGTTTGAAATATTTCTATAAGAAGCATTGATTTACTTGTGTAAAAATATTTTAAAATTTATTTCCAAGAATTTAAACATATAGGAGAGTATGAGGATATGGAAACTATCTGGGACTTCTGCTCAATTTCTCTGTAAACCTAAACCTAATATAAAAATAAAGACTATTACTTAAAAAAAAAATAGAATTTAAACATATATAGAATCATTACAAAGACCTGTAATAATCATTTTCCTTTATGCTTTACATAAACTGAATGCATTAAACGTTTAGGCTGGTCGAAATTCATGATCTCTCCCCAACAAAAAGTTTTTGTTAGATAAATCATCTTGATCTAAAGAATTTTTACTTACTTTGTTATAAGTTTGTTAAATAGCACGGATTGGTTCACAGTATTATAACGACTTCTAATCCTACAACTGCGGCGAACTTCAATGTCACCATTCTCTTCATGCAAGTGTCCTGTAGTTTCAACAATGTTTCTAGTTCTCAATGACCGAGTAACTGGAATCACTTTGTCTTCACACATATTTACATAAAAATAAGTAGAAAGATTTGAAGTAATAGTATTTATAAAACAATTCTAAAATGAAAAATTGAATAGCTATACTTCCATGTAAAAAAAAATTATAGTATCTTAATCTTACCTTTCTTAAAAACATTAGAAAACAAAAATAAAGTTACAACATACACCTACCATATGATCCAGCCCTTCCACTCCCAAGAGAAGAGGAAAGATATGTAATACAAAGATTTGTACACAAATGTACAAAGCAGCTCTGTGATAGCCCCAGACTGGAAACAACCCAAGTCTATCAAAAGATGAAGAGATAATCAAACTGTAGTTTATCCATATAATGGAATACTATTCAACAACAAAAAGCAACACCATGGATGATACTCAAAGCAATTATGCTGAGTGAAAGAAGCCAGACAAAAAAGAAAGTATAATGTATGATTCCATTTATATAAAACTCTACATGATGCAAATTAATCTATAGTGACAAAAAGCAGATTGGTGGTTAATCAGGAATTGTGTGTGTTGTGGGGGGGTAGTGGAGAGCGAGGAAAGGAGCTGGAAGAACCTGAAGAGATTATAAAGGAGCCTAAAGACACTTTTGGGAGTGATGGTTACCTTCACTATCTTATTTTGGTGATGGTTTCATGGCATATACTTATGTCAAAACCTAACAAATTCAGGCTGGCCAGTTAGCTCTCTTGGTAGAATGTGGTGCTAATAACACCAAGGTCAAGCAAGGGTTAAGACCCCTTTACCGACCAGCTGCAAAAAAACCCCCAAAAACAAAAACAAAAAGCCTAACAAACTGTACACTTTAAATATGTACAGTTTATTGTATATACCTCAGTAAACCTGTAAACAAAATACTAATTACATGTTTTAAAAATCTGAAATGCCTTTAACATTTCTTACCTTCTTTGTACTCTTCTTTTTTTTTATCAGCCTGCTGTCTGGCCAACTGCCTATATAAAAATATATATATAAAATAATTCAAAATAATTGACATAACTTTAAACACTATATTGTATAATGCCACAAACTACGACAAAAAGTTAAATCAGCCTGGAGAGTAAATACTCAGATACCTAAAAACCTAAAAAACACTGACAAAAGCAGCTTGAGAATATCTATGCTTAAGTTACAACTAAACAAAGTCTAAGAAACCTGTGTTAAAATTCAGTGATATATGCATTAACCTCTAGCCAAACAGAATTAATCAAATAAAAGTACCTTACTTGAAATAAAAAATGAAGTCCTTAGCCTAAGTATTTAAGTATAGTTGAACTAAGCATTAAGCAAAAACAAGACAATGTGTTTTATGCCACAGGGATATAGCGCTCCGGTATCCTTAAGAAATTTACTATATAAACAGAACTAATGCCCCTTAGTGATACATTAATAGTCTTTTAAGAACATGTGCTGGTTACAATCTTTACATGACAAGCATTATTATTATTCACATGTAGAAACAGTCTCATTTGCAAATCAGATGTCCCACCTACAAACTGGCAGACAGAATCTACCGAATTGGAAAGAACATTTTCCAAACCTTGAAAAAACAGTCCACTCACCTTTTTTCAAAAACCCACTGAGCAAACAAAACTAAAAGATCAGAGGACCAAGACTTAGAAAAACACAGAAAGATTTGAGTAACTGTGCCACGAGGGCAGGATCTACATATTTCTTTGATTCTGGGGTTCTTAACTAGGGTCCAGTGATCGTGGATGGTCTGTAGGGGTGCACAAAACCTCTGAAGTAATGTTTGAACTTGAGTGTATACGCAATTTTCTAAGGAAAAAATTATTAACTTATTTTTAGTGACTCAATTCTTGGACAGGCTGGATCTGTTAATCAACTTATATATCAAGCTATTTGCAAGCGGGTTGGTTTATACATGCAGGAATCCTTTCAAATATTACAATTTAAAATAAAATGAAACCATCTTACCCAGATGAGTTAACTCACATAATCTCATGACAATGTAAATCATCACTAATTCCTTACCTCTCTTGGAATACAGGTAAGAACCAAGAACAAAATTAAAACCTTTGAGCAATCCATCTACAGGGTCAAGGCTTAGTTCATTCACAGGCTCATAGATTTTTCTCATACAGGAGCCCATCTCTCCACATCATGTAGGTCTGCACATTTTCTAAACCAGGCCCCTCTTAGATGCTAGGAACATAATGATTAAAGCAGTATTTTTCTTTTCCTTTTTTCATCTGCATGGGTAAGGAAGTGCTTTTATCCTCGCAGGGGCTGGTAAACTTTCTTAAATCACTAGTAAATATTTCAGGCTCCAGAGCCATACAGTCTCTGTCACAACTACCTTAACATTGTAGCATGAAAGTAGCCATAGACAAAATCAATGTGCATGGCTTTGTTCCAATGAAACTATTTACAAAATCAGGTGGCTGGACTTTGCCAACTCCTGCAAATCTGATGAAAGCCATGGATCCTTTCTCTCTAGAAAATTGCATATACACTCAAGTTCAAACATTACTTCAGACATTTTGCGCCCCCCCCCTACAGACCATCCATGATCACTGGACCCTAGTTAAGAACCCCAGAATCAAAAAAATATATAGATTCTGCCCTCATGGCACAGTTATTCAAACCTTTCTGTGTTTTTCTAATGATCTTGGTCCTCTGGTCTTTCAGCCCCAAATAGATTGAAAACAAAGAGTGGAAAAAATAACAAGAAAGGAAAGAAGGAAAAATATTACTAAAGTCAGGCATACTGAAAAGGATAAGAAACAGGAAACGTAAAGCAGAACTCAAAAATACTGTAGGCCATTTTATATTACACTTACACAAATCAATCCTGATGTTACCACTATATAAAATAATAAACAGCCCGTAATGGCCAGCGGCCAAAAAGTAAAAGTAAAAATAATAAATAAATAGGTAATAATATACAGTATTTTAATAATGATCTCAATACAGGGAGATGATTTTTATATGGGAATTCTTTTCACAGAAGACATACAAATGGCCAATAAGCACATAAAAAGATACTCAACATTATCAGCCATTAGGGAAATGCAAATCAGAATGACAATGAGATACTTACACTCACTAAAATGGCTAACACCAAAGACAGATTATGACAAATGCTGACAAGGACGTGGATAAATTGGAATCCTCATACTTGCTGGTGGGAATGTAAAACGGTGCAACTGCTGTGGAAAACAGTTTGGCAGTTCCTCAAAACGTGAGTATTACCATTTGACCCAGCAATTCTACTCCTAGGTATATACCCAAAAGAATTGAAAACCTATGTCCACACAAGAATTTGTACACCAATGTTCATATCATTATTCATAATCGCCAGCAAGCAGAAAAATCCAAATGCCCACCAACTAATGAATAAATAAACAAAATGTGGTATATCCATACTATGAAATCTTATTCAGCAATAAAAAGAACTAGTATTGATAGATACCACAATATAAATGAACCTTTATACCAAGTGAACGAAGCCAGACACTAAATGCCATATATTGTATGATTCCACCTATATGAAATATCCAGTCAAATCCATACAGACAGAAGGTAGGTTAGTGCTTCCCAAGGGGCTGGGTGTCGGGGGAAGCTAATGGGTACAGGGTTTCTCTTTGGGGTAATGAAAATATTTTGAAATTAGATCACAATATTGTAAATATATTAAAACCACTGAATTGTATGTTTTAAAATCATGAATTTTATGGTTAGGTGAATTATCTCAATAAAGCTGTTTTTAAAAAATAATAAAAAAATAGGACAAGGGTTTGGATTCCCAACTGGCCAGCCACCCCCTCCCAAAAAGATATGAATTCAACATATTTTAGAAGGAATCTAATTAAAAATACCAAGTCACTCATCTTTAAATCCAGATCAAAAAGTGCTTATTGTAAATACACTCCCTTAATACCTTTCTAGCATAAAGCCCACCACACTGTTTCACAAACCTGAATAATGTACAGATCCTTTTAAAGGTAAAAACTTTGAGGACTTAATAATATTAAATCTGTTGTATGACTATGTAAAGCCAAACAAGATATAAGTTCACGTATAAGTTTTATACAAATAAAACTATGAAAGCAACCACCAACAAAAAATATTAACATAATATTGAGATTGGCTGAAATGAAATAGCCATTTGCTGTGTGAACATAGTACTGATTACTATCAGCTTCTCTTGACTTTGGCATGTTGTGCATCATATTTGTTATGCACAGCTGTGTATCATGATGACTCAACTCACCCACTTCTTTTTATCTGAAGTGCTCCAAAACCTTTATTTAAACAGCATATCATAACATCACATCATGTGGCGTTCTCTTGGAAGATGTATCACTTATATATAAAGGGATACATCATGAACCTGAGATAACTAAAGCAGTACTACTTGCTGCCAATTCAATTGTAATCACAAATATAGGGCCTGAAATTTTATGGCAATTCTCTATAAGGTAGCAATTTAGGTGATCCAGAATGTTTATTTTATTTTATTTTCACAAAGAAGAATGGTGGGGGTGGGGTGAGGGTAGCTGAGGTGGGGAGGTAGAGAGGAAAGTGGGCAATCCAGGAGGGAGGCTAGCAGGGCCTGAGGACAAGAGTTTGATGTAGAATGTTTATTTTTATTTTAGATCATGAAAAATAATTTTTAAATTCTCATAGAGAATTCGTAGACCACTCTCCCAACCCCAAGAATAAACCTGAAGAAGTCAAGTTTCAGAAACACTGGGCTAGCTCATATTGTATTTCCTCAATTCTAAGTTGTACATTTCCCCCCCATTTTAACATCTCTGAAATTCAAATGTCTTACAATTGGTGGCATGTCACAGTTTAACTGTCAGTGTTTTTTCCTTCTTAGTGCCTCATAAAACCATGTTATATGTTTCAATTGCTGTTACTGTGGATTTCATGAAATACAGTAGTAAACACTCCATAAGTAAGATGCAAATTAAAATATATATATAATAGACTGATTAAATAACTGAAAAAATAACAAAAACTCAGAAACTCCTTTGCTGCTGGACAGCTTGCAGGACGGGATGTACCCAGACCACCAGCAGGTGAGCTTCAGAAGGTGTGGGAAGCTGAGGGGGCCTGGCATTGTCACCCTGCAGCACTCTCAGTTTTTCTTTCCTTTCCTAAAATCTTCCCAGGTTGCCAGAGCCAGGCCTTGCCTGCTCATTGCAGCTTTGAGCCAATCCAGTCTTGCCAGCCATAGGGAAAGTGTGTGTGCTGGGATGAGGGCCAGGATCTGGGGCCCAGTGGGCCAGCCAGGTGGCAATACCGTCCTGTACTTGAGGAAATGCCATACTTAGGAGAGGCCGAACCTTATCCCTTGGGCTTTAAGCTTCTCCCAGAGAATTGGCACTTAGGAAGAGGTGACTTGTTGTCACCTTACAGACCTAGCCCCACCTTTACAAATCAATTAACATTTGTGATGTAGATGGAGAACATTCAAAATAAAAAGTTTTGCACAGTGCTTACTACCAACTAGGGACTGTTTTCTCTTGCGGGTAGATCCAAATGAAGTGTGACATCCCTATCTCCAGCACAGCAGTCCTACTGGGAAGACAGTTAACAAACATCAGACTGTTAAGAGACAAAGAAGGTCAAGATGAAGAGAGACTTCTTTTTTGTCTAACTTTTATTTTGATATTTGCCTCATAACTTTTTTCATCTTTTTAGTTTTAACTTTTTTATATGCTCATATTTTATGTGCTGGTGTAAACGACATATTGCTGGGAATTTTTTTTTTTTAATCCAAGCTGACAGTTTCTCCCCTTTGATTTATTTTATTTACATTTAGGTTTATTGTATTCACATTCATCGTCACTACTGAGATAACTGTTCAGGTGGAAACCTTTGGAGTCATCCTTGACTCATCTCACATATAATCAGGAAATACTATGGACCCCACCTTCAAAATCTATCCAGACTCCCAATCCCTTCTCACCACCTTCACTTCTCCATGTTATAGTTGTCTCTCACCTAGTTTACTGCAGTAGCCACCTAACTAGTCTCAGCTTTTTCCTCTTTCATTCTGTTTATATCACAGCATCTAGCGTGAGCCTCCTAAAGAAATAAATCAGATCATCTCTTTTCTCTCAAAAAAAAAAAAAAAAAATCCTGAATTTTTGGGTTTGTTTTGTTTTGCTTTCTCTTTTCACTTCCTCTATACAAACTCTATTTCTGTTCTTATAGTGGTTAACCTTTTAATTTTAATTTTTTTAAAAAGATGACCAGTAAGGGGATCTTAACCCTTGACTTGGTGTTGTCAGCACTACGCTCTCCCAAGTGAGCTAACCGGCCATCCCTATGTAGGGATCCGAACCCATGGCCTTGGTGTTATCAGTACCACACTCTCCCAAGTGAGCCACTGGCTGGCCCTTAACTTTAATTTTTAATTTTACTGTGCATACTTTATTGAATCTAATTAGCACCTTAACCCTGTGGAAGAATATTACTTTTACCTTTACACTACTGATTTTAAACAGACCTCTTGTAGCATCTCAGTACTTAATTATTTTTATAAGATATGAATTTTCAACAATAAAACTAATAGTTTGTACTAAAAAACAAAAAAAGACTCCCTCAAATTTAAAAGGGCATAAGCTCATTTATCTGGAAAGTATGTTATACAAAATAAAAATCAAAATTCTATTTAAGAGTAGGTGGGGTCTAGTTTTCTAAATCATAACAAATAATTTATGAGAATTAATGTAAAAACAATTATTTCATGAAACAAATTTTATTCTAATTGGGGCTCTCCCCCATTTATGTAAGGTGCAAAGTGGGGGAAAAAGTGAAGGTTTTGAGCTTATTAAAGTTAGATTTAAAACTGCCCTGAAACAGCACAGAGAGAAAAATACTGCATGTCCTCACTCAGAAGTGGGAGGGAGGAAAAAGAGAGAGAGAGAAAGAGAGAGAGAGAAAGAACAATCACAATAACAGGTTGAACTTTCAGAAAGAGAAAACAACTGGTTATTAAGAAAGAGGTGGGAAAGGGGGTGGGGGGTTAGTGAGAAATTGGTTAATGGACACAAAGAATGATTATGTTTCATAATGATGACTATGCTAATATCCTGATATGATCATCACATATTGCACACAGGTATTGATAGTCAACTCTGTACCCCACAAATATGTATAACAAATTATGTTTCAATAAAAATAAATCTTCCCTGAACCAAATTCCAGTCCTATGAATTTAACTAAACTACCTAATCCACTGAAATCGATTCCTTAAAAATGGGATTCATGCCACCTACCTCAGGGTTCTCAAGATGCAAAATTTAAACATATATAAAGCATCCTGTCCCATTAGACCAATTTAAAAAAACAAAAACAAAAAAAACACATTTTCTGCCTCCTTTGTGAAGACTGCTTTAGAAGCACAATAACACAGAGAAATTCATAAATGACTGAGAACTGAGGAAAAACTTGATAGCAAGCAGTAAGAAATAGAACTACTATTTTGAATAAAGGCTTTGTATAGACTGTGAAGAACCACATATCACAAGCAAGTTACAATCACAAGTCTCTTTAGATACTCAAATACCATAAGAGAACAGATCCTGCATCAACTGACCTCATCAGCTGCACTCGTATGTATCACAAATACCGTTTATGAACAAGCAAATAAAAGCAGGCTGGCCGATTAGTTCAGCTGATTAGAGCACAGCCTTGTAACACCAAGGCAAGTGTCTGGTTCTCCATACTGGCCAGCTGCCAAAAATGAATGAATGAATGAATAAATAAATAAATAATATGAACAAATTTTACTGTGTACATATATTAATTTTTAATTCAATAATATTCAATTGTGGAAATTTCATTTAAAATAAATTACATCTTACAACCCTGGAATCTTGATAACTGGTCAAAACACATTTTAAAAATTAAATGCAAATCCTAAATTACTGCTTTAAAACTATTTTCAATTAGTGTTCAACCATCTTGTATTACCTTGTAAAATGCCTGCCATTAGCATGCTTCTCCATTATTTCCATATTCTTATCAAAACTAGAATCTGAAGAATTCTGTGCATTTTTTCTCAAAGACCTTAAAGCACGTGTCCGGTGATAGGTTTCAACTTTCTTAACCGAAGAACCATCCTTTAAGAAAAATTAAGAAAGCCATCTAAGTTTTTCTTTAGTTAAAACTCCAAATTTAAATCCCTAAGTTTTCTCTGATTACAAGTTAGTAACAATTGCTTTCTGTGCACAATCATTTTGTATCTCCCAAGAAATTACAATACTTAATAACTGAAATACATATCATTAATGATAAACAAATATCAACAATGTTTATGAAATAGTTAATATAAGATTTACTAGTAGTTTATAGCTCTATTTCATAACAAGGAGTAAGAGAATGAAGTTTTCCAGTGCTGATAAAACTGTGATAGTTCATAATAGTAGGTACTCATTTATTCTAAGACTACAGAAATGAGAAACACCTAAGAAAGATACATGTGAGCGCACACACACAACACACACAACAAAACATTACCTGTCACTCAACAACTGGCAACAACTTTAAAATAACTAGACTATCAGAATTGTAATTTTGTGGAACTGAGGCCACCAGAGGTGGGAAGGGGTAGGAGGTTAGCAAGAAATTGGTAAAAGGCCACAAAAAATTATTACATTGTGCAATGATAAATATAGTAATAAAAAAAAAAAAGAATTGTAATTTTGGCTTGGACAACAAGAAGGAACGATTACCATATTTTGTGAGTTTCACCCAGATAATGGACTGATTGAATTAAAAAATGTTTAGGTATGTTAAGCCACAGAGCTCTATGTAACTTTCCTTTTGCTGAGCAGACTAGACTAGTTCTCTAAGTTAGTGTGGTCTTATGAGCTTAGAGACTGTGTCATAAAGTATTCAAAAGTTCATGCACACCTCCCTGAAACTGTATAAAGGGTATTTTTTACATCAGAAGTCAAAAGTACCTAATAATTCTGTAATTTGATGCCTTACTACATTGAAAACTGATCATTTTAGAAAAACAGGCAGTGTTTTAGGGAAAAATGAAACATTTTAGTTCCCATCCCCACAGACTTCCAGGCTGGCTTTACTCTATTTAATTTTGTTTTATCAGGGCATTTAATTTTGTTTTGGACAGACTATTTGGTTGGTTCACAAGTAAAATAAGAATACTTACACCACAAGGGTTTGTGTAAAAATTAGATAATTCATAAAATATTAAATGATGTGTATGATTTGTCATCTTTATTTTTTTTATTTTTTATTTTTTTTAAAAGATGACTGGTTGGGGCCGGCCCGTGGCTCACTCGGGAGAGTGCGGTGCTGATAACACCAAGGCCCCGGGTTCGGATCCCATATAGGGATGGCCGGTTCGCTCACTGGCTGAGCGTGGTGCTGACAACACCAAGNACCTAATAATTCTGTAATTTGATGCCTTACTACATTGAAAACTGATCATTTTAGAAAAACAGGCAGTGTTTTAGGGAAAAATGAAACATTTTAGTTCCCATCCCCACAGACTTCCAGGCTGGCTTTACTCCATTTAATTTTGTTTTATCAGGGCATTTAATTTTGTTTTGGACAGACTATTTGGTTGGTTCACAAGTAAAATAAGAATACTTACACCACAAGGGTTTGTGTAAAAATTAGATAATTCATAAAATATTAAATGATGTGTATGATTTATCATCTTTATTTTTTTTATTTTTTTTAAAAGATGACTGGTTGGGGCCGGCCCGTGGCTCACTCGGGAGAGTGCGGTGCTGATAACACCAAGGCCCCGGGTTCAGATCCCATATAGGGATGGCCGGTTCGCTCACTGGCTGAGCGTGGTGCTGACAACACCTAAGGGTTAAGATCCCCTTACCAGTCATCCTTTAAAAAAAAAAAAAAAGATGACTGGCAAGGCGATCTTAACCCTTGACTTGGTGTTGTCAGCACTACGCTCTCCCAAGTGAGCTAATCAGCCATCCCTATATAGGGATCCGAACCCGTGGCCTTTGTGTTATCAGCATCACACTCTCCCGGAGTGAGCCACGGGCAGGCTCTTGTCATCATCTTTATCAGTATACCTACATTTAAGGACGTTTGGAAAAAAGAATATCTTCAACTTAGGTAGGTAGGTATATTATTATTATTATTATTATTTTGGTGGCTGTCTGGTACGGGGATCCAAACACTTGACCTTGGTGTTATCAGCACTACGCTCTAACCAACTGAGCTAACCAGCCAGCCCCAGGTGTATTATTTTTAAAATGAATAGCTACATCTACATCAGTGTAGTGTAACGTAAGACTTTCCAAGGAATATTTTAAGGGAATCTATTTCCAGATTCTCAACTTCCATATGTACTTTTTCTTAAAACTGATTAGCCTGAGAAGGCACAAGGCATCCCATTCATTTGCCTTTCTCCCATTTCACAAAAGAAAGCCGTATGTCTCACCCACTCTGAGTTTTATTATTGTGGACTGCCTCAAGGCATTAAAAACCTTCCTAAAGGGCCGAGCCCGTGGCACACTCGGGAGAGTGCGGCGCTGGGAGCGCAGCAGCGGTCCCGCCGCGGGTTCGGATCCTATATGGGGGTGACTGGTGCGCACACAGTGCTCAATGGCTGAGCGCGGTGCAGTCGGTCTCAAAAAGGACAAAAAGAAAAAAACCTTCCTAAAGCCAGAGAAAAACACTGCTGGAGGTGTTAAGAAATTGAATGACTAAGCAAGGCAATGAATCCTTTCCCTTTTTAGGTGGTTTCCAATTCTTTGCTTTCAACAGAATTGAAAGGAAACCTAATAAAGCTAAGAGATCATTAAAAATCATTTTCAGGGCCGGCCTGTGGCTCACTTGGGAGAGTGCGGTGCTGATAACACCAAGGCCGCGGGTTCGGATCCCATATAGGGATGGCTGGTTGCTCACTGGGTGAGCATGGTGCTGACAACACCAAGTCAAGGGTTAAGATCACCTTACCGGTCATCTTTAAAAAAAAAAAAAAAATCATTTTCAGCAAGTGATTTTTTATGCATAAGCCAGAAAAACTGAGTGGTACTTCTAAACAAAACTCCTTTCATTACTACTTATTTATATGAACAATTTATCAGTGCTTACATTGAAAAAAAACAATGGAATTGATGCAGAACAATGTCATCAACAAAATATGAGAGTACTTTAAAAGGTTCATGGAAAGATTCATATGATTTTTTATTCCATTTTTCCACAAACTTTTTGAAGTACCCTCATACATCCATAGATGTATGAAGTAATTGGTGGGTAGAGGGACTTCAACCATATGAAATCTAATAAAATCTTACATTCTGTGTTAATCAAAGTGGACAATGTTTTTATTGTTTTGATTGGCTGAATATTAATAACTATGATAAACTCAATCCATGATAATTTTATTTCTTGGAGCCTTATGGGCACAGAAAAGTGGGGGGCAGGGGATCAAATTTTTTTTTAAAGGTACAAAAAGATAATTGATAAATGACTTCCAAGCATAAAAATATTTTACATCAGGCTGGCCCGGTGGCGCACTGGAGAGTGCGCTGCTTGGGAGCGCGGCGGCACTCCCGCTGAGGGTTCGGATCCCACGTGGAGACCGGTTCCCGCTCACTGGTTGAGCGCGGTGCGGGCCCAACACCGAGGGTTGGGATCCCGTTGCCGGTCAGTAAAAAAGACAAAAAGGAAAAAAAAAATTTTTACATCAAGATAAAATGTTGTTAGTTAAATGGACTGAATGCAAATTAAAAGAGAAGAAGAATCAAGGTAACATTTGATTGCTAAAAGAGCTTGCTCATGTACTATTTTTTAACATACCATGATATACCTAATAACTATGTTTCTAGATTCCAGTGGATACACATAGAAGTCTGATGTTATAGTTTTATTCTTTTTAATGTCAACATCAAAAGATGACAGAAATTACATCCTTTGTAACTATTTAAACCAATGGGGGTGGGGGCAGAAATCATAGATGGTAACTTAAAACTATACAAGAGAATATAGAGCTACAAAACTATTTAGGAATTCCCAGAAGGAAACAGGGGGAAAACTTCATGACATTGGATTTGGCAATGATTTCTTCGATATGACAATGAAAGCACAGACAACAACAACAAAAATACATAACTTAGACATCAACAGAATTAAAACCTTTTGTGCATCAAAAGACACTATCAACAGAGTGAAAGGCAATACAAAAAATGGGAGAAAATGCTTGTAAATCATATATCTGATAAGGGATTGATATCTAGAATACATAAAGATCCTCTATATTTCAACAAAAAACCCCCCACACAATTAAAAAATGAACAAAGATCTTGGAATAGACATTTCTCTCTCTCTCTCTCTCTCTCTCTCTCTCTCTCTCTCTCTCTCTCACACACACACACACACACACACACGGCTAATAAACATATGAAAAGATACTCAAAGTCACCAGTCATTAGGGAAATGCAAATCAAAGCCACAGTGAGGTCACCCATTAGGATGGTTACTTACAAAAAAAAAAAAAAAAAGAAAGAAAGAAAGAAAGAAAATAACAAGTGTTGGTGAGGAGGTGGAGATAATGGAACCCTTGTGCATGGCTAGTGGGAATGTAAAATGGTGTGGCAATTCCTCAAAAAATTAAACACAGAATTACTATACGATCCAGCAATTCCACTTCTAGTATATATCTAAACAAGCAAAAGCAGGGACTCCAACAGATTTTTGTACACCATGTTCACAGCAGCATTATTTACAACAGCCAAAAAGTGGAAGCAGTAACCCAAGTGTCCATCGACAGATGAAGGGGTAAATAAAATGTGGTATATACAATGGAATGTCATTCTGCCTCAAAAAAGAAAGGAAATTAACACATGCTACAACATAGATGAACTTTGAGGAATTATGATAAGTGAAATAAGCAAATCACAAAAGGAAAAATTTATACAATTCTTCTTATATGAGTTTCCTAGAGTAGTCAAATTCAGAGACAAAGTAGCACAGTAGTTGCCAGGGAATGGGGGAAGGGAGGAGCCAGGAGTTAGTGTTAATGGGTACAGAGTTTCAGTTTTGGAAAATGAAAAAGTTCTGAAGACAGATGGTCGTGATAGTTGCAGAACAATGTGAATGCACTTAATGTTACAGA